GAGAGAGAGAGAGAGAGAGAGAGAGAGAGAGAGAGAGAGAGAGAGAGAGAGAGAGAGAGAGAGAGAGAGAGACCAGAAGAGTTGTTTCTGAACAGTGGATGCCAGGGTGATCTTCGCACTCTATTTCCTACATCCACTGATTAATTATAGTTCAACGAGAATGGTGGATAAAATAGTGGGGAGGTAAGAGGGAGTCATTGTTGTTTGACTTTTTCACTTCCCTATTCCTTTCACCATTTTCTCCTTTTAATCTTTTCTTCAATGTTCTCATTTTCTTGTTGTTTTGAGTTAGACTTGCGATTGCCATCATGGAATTGTGCGGGGATCATCAAAGTCTTTTCTTCAATGTTCTCATTTTCTTGTTGTTTTGAGTTAAGACTTGCAATTGCCATCATGGAATTGTGCAGGGATCATCAAAATAGAAAAAAAACACGTTTGACGACATATCTAAAGTGGGAGTAAACTCAGTAAAGTACTAAAGTGCAAATATGTGTTGCAAATCATAGGTGCACGTGCGCAGCTAGATCTGCCTGTTCATGTGTACAGGTGAGAATGGATTCCTACGTGTGGCTGGTTCAGACACTTCAAGTAATTTTGAGGAACACATTGTAACATAACATACTCGTAAAAACTCCTCTTGTGGAACATTGAAATTCGAAATGTACTTCAAATAAATACGGATAACAGCACCAACGGGCCTAGCTCAGTAGGTACACCCCGCCCTCAACTGTTGAAATACAGACTCAAGTTCGAATCCAGATACCCCCAGAAAAAAGAGAATAAAATCATTTTGAATTGCCTCGGGCCGGTCAGTTCAATGATGACATCCAAAGGCCGTTGCCCTTGAAAGTTGAAACCCAAAAAAAAAAAAAAAAAAAAAAACCTGGATAAGAGCACAACGGTCACAACCAGTATTGACCAGACATCTTGTAAGTTGTAACATAGTAAACATACTACAAAACCTGCTCATCCTTGTCTGCATCTTAAGTTGAGACATTTTCCCGAAATTTCCATACATATTATGATATTACATTGTAAGACACCCACGTCAAGAAAGCACATTGGGCAAGAGAGACCATAAAGAAGACTGCCATCCGAAAATCGGCATTCTGAAGTCATTTGGTTTCTCCTTAATCCGTATTAAATATATTACACACAAACCGATAACACAACACAGCGGCCAAAATATGGATACAACGTAGACAAGGAGCATAAGCCCAAAACAGGAGCTGTTAGCTGGTGTGCGAGGAAACAACTCACAGTCATTTGCTTCTCCTCCTCCTCTTATCCTTCTCCCCTCATCTCTTTGCCTCTTGAGAGATCCAGCTTATCATCTCTCTCGACTTCCTACAACAGGGCCTAGGATCAAGGCATCCACAGCTGCATCTTCGCGAAGCCAACACAACAGCAGAATGCAATAGTCACTCCTTTTCCCTCTCTCTCAAGATGCTATACGGCAAAACAAGTTTCGTACAGCTTACTTGAGGAACAAAGAAACGAGGAACAGGAAAAAAAACGTGAAAACGAAGGCACCTCTGCCAAAACTACCCCACCCACTGGGGAAAGCTGCAGCAGTGACCCTCTTCATGAATAAGAAGGTCAGCAAAAGGGGGGACGCAGCGGGAGGAGTCACCTCGTCACAACCCTCTGCACCAGGCCAGACTGCTGTCTAAAGTTCTCTAAACTCTTGAGAGAAGAGGAAAACCCTGCAAATTCCTCTGCATCCCGATTGGGATTTGTTTCCCAAACAAACAGCCAGGCACCAATCAGCCGTAAGCTGTGACCCCATCAACCTTACAGCTCTTCACTTCAAAATACTGTTCAGTGATATATACACCATCCGTTAACTGCAATGAATCATCTCTCCTTAACTACATACACTGTCATACAGCCTAAAGATTCCTACAAAACATTTACACACCCGTCCTGCTCCAACCGACAACTCTCTACATTATCTATACACGGGAACATATCAATGACAGGGATACTCAATTGCCTCAGATATTGTACACGTGAAGCACATAGCTTCTTGATGCAGATCCCCTGAGTTTCCAAATGCCACTGTTGAGCTCTGACGTTTCGAGCCCCAGCCAGCTGCCGTCTCATAGGTCGTCATATGTACTGCTCTCACAGGAAGGACCAGAAACTGAGGCACGCCTGATCTGTTTCACATGGGGTTGCCAGACCATTCATTCTGAGAATCCAAACCAGATACCGTCACAATATTGCCATGCTTCACTGCCCTCCTTGAAGTTCGGGAGGTTACTCCAATGCTCCTCCAACGCTCTTCCACAGTTTAGTTTTCCCTCGGCATTTACACAGTATGGTATCTACATGATGCCTCCTCAGATAGGTCAGCAGATGGGTATCCACCGTGCTGCAGCACGGGGAGGAGGATGGGAGAAGAGATGCTAGTATCGAGGGCAAGTATGAGATCTCTGACACTACCCCCTCATATATGTGAGCAACTGGGCTCAGATAGGTCAGCAGAAGGGTATCCACCTTGCTGCATCACGGGCAGGAGGATGGGAGAAGTGATGCTAGTATCGAGGGCAAGTATGGGATCTCTGACACTACACCCTCATATATGTGAGCAAATGGGCTCAGATAGGTCGCCAGATGGGTATCCACCGTGCTGCAGCACGGGCAGGAGAATGGGAGAAGACATGCTAGTATCGAGGGCAAGCCTGGGATCTCTGACACTAACCCCCTCATATATGTGAGCAAATGGTAGTGCTCTACGCTGCAACGGTGACAGGGACATTAAATAACATGATTTGCTCTCGACATACCGGACCCTGATTTACAACAGTAGCCCATCGGAAAAGGCACGTTTTTATCTACAATCTATTATTAGTGATCTGCTGTCTGGCATCGGTCCATCTCCAATCAGACAGATGTTTCTCACTCCTAGTTTAGCCGAATACTGAGGCATCACCCCAGGTAAACAGATGTTAACCTTAAGGGCTTTTCACATATCCTCAGATGGCGAAAAGATCCCTCACTGACTCAATCAAGGTCACCGCATTCCCTTTCCCCTCTGGATTCTAGAATCCAAAAAAAACATTTAACTTTTCGACATTCTCTTCTGTTCCCCTTCTAGAATCCGAAAAGAATTTTCTGCTTTTCCCGAAAGCGAATTTCATCCATTAGCTTAGTTGCTAATGTGTCAACAATTGCGGTCTTGAGCGGAGGCAAGAGAAGGGCTCTCAATTTACTGGCCTTCCGCCGTTCAATCAATCAATCAATCAATCAAATCAATCAATCAATCAATCAAAGCAATCAATCAATCGATCAATCAAATCAATCAAATCAATCGATCAGTAACTGCTCACTCAGAGGAGTGAACACTCTCTTTGTAGTAGTCCATACCAACCAGGGAGAAAAGGAGAGGTGACACTTTCTAAAATGAATATTCCCAAACCGTGAGTCCCCACCGACAGCACATTCATCAGTCATCGATGATAGACGTGTGACTCAGGAGGGGACCTTTGGCTTAAATGGCATCCCCTCCCCCACTGAAAGTGCCAAGCTGCCTTATCAGTGGAGCACACGACCAGGGCTTCGTCAGATTTCCTTGAGAGGTATGTGATTCAGACCTGAACTAGACCTCCTAAAGCCAAGGAGAGTCCCATTTCCCTGCCCCACTCAAAATGCCCAGCTGCCTCACCTTCGCAATTGCTAGTAGAAGTCTCTCGTCCAGATGTAACCCTCGTTGCACTTTTCTTTGCAAGATCCTCGTCCCCGTCTATGCCGTTGCCCTCATTGTCCTCTTCTAGCAATGGCAGCACAAGTTGTTTGCACACAGTCTCAAACATTTCGTCATTGTTCTCAATATACTCCTGTGCTGCCGCTTCTAGTTTGTTCCAAACAGCAGAGTCCGTCTCATCGAGCTCCATGGAGCACCTGTCATCCACTTCAAGACAAAACATGACATTCGCCACATTACAATTCTCAATGGGAGGACACAAGCTGAATTTGCAACACCGAACAGCGAGAAGCTTACTGAAACTACTCAGCACTAAGTTCACAAAAATTTCCACGAAATCTTCATCATCTTTTGGTCCATAGTGTGCATCGCTTCCCCACCTCCACAAGGATGCGAACAGCATTATAAGAAACACAATGACGGCAACAATACCATCATCTGCTCACATTGTATTAGACTACCAGTACTTGGCCCAGCTATCGGCCGCGGCGCTTTCCCGTTAACGCGCCCCGCCTTTAGGGCTTCGGGGTACCGGACCAAAAAAGCGCCAGCCAAAACAGTTTCGAAACGGTACCCCGGCGCTTCGGCGAAAATTGGCGCGCAGGGGCATTCCAGGCTCGGCAGCGATAGCTGGGCCAAATACTGGTGGTTTAACTATCTCACTTCTCTGTAATTCAATTTCAAAGACCACGACTTTTGTTTTGCACCCGCTGTGACGTTTTCTTTGCACTCAAAGGAAATCATGGCTGGTGCTTAAACTCTAAGCCCTTCATTTATACCTTGCTAGCACTGTATTTGCTGTTGGACCCAAGGCTAAGTTGCATGTTGAGAGTGTGCGCTGCCCAAAATTACACAAGCAATTTGAACCAATTAGAATTTGAAACTGTTACACGGATGATTTAAGTTTATTAAATTATTGGTAATTTCTAATTATTGATAATCTGACTACTACTACTTTTAAATTCAAAATTGGGTCTCATGAAAACGGCATCTGATGAGACCCTGCGTAGAAAAAGTTGGGCCGGAGCGCTGGTCCAAGAAAGGTTGGCTGGCAGCCTGCAGTTATCTTTTCGGGGTGCAGAATATGGAATCCTACCCAGCAGCTGGTTGGTTGGTGAACAGCCTGGTCTGTGATTGATGTTTTTCCCTCATTGCTTTTGGGGTGACCGTTTTCCTTTTGTGCATCATTCTCATCAGCTCATCGACTTTTTGTGCCAGGGCAATGCATTTTCTCCTTCTCTTTTATCTGTGGTTCCGATCCGGTCATTGATTTTTTCGTGCGTTTGATGTTTTTTTCCCTCATTGCTTTTTGGGGTGACCGTTTTCCTTTTGTGCATCATTCTCTTTAGCTCATGACTTTTTGTGCCAGGGCAATGCATTCTTCTTTTCTTTTATCGGTGGTTCTGATCCGGTCATTGATTTTTTCGTGCTCGCTCTCACAATGCACAGACAAGGGTGATGTGGGATATGGAGGAAGGAGAGGAAGAAGAGCGAAAGTACGGCATCGCAAATAAGAATCCCTCCTCCGCCTCGATGTCTTCTCCTTGCCAATCCTCCCCAGCAAATGTCACAGTCGGAGAAGTGGGAGGCGACACGGTCAGATCAGCACAGAAAGAGGGAGAAGGAAATATGGTATTATCAAGTCAGAATAAGACAGATAAGGTTTGCTGATTTCATAAGTCAGAATAAGACAGAAGTACCAACTGGCATAGCTCAGTCGTTATATCCATTAACTGTTGAAATACAACCTGAGTTCAAATTCCAAGTGAACCAGATGACTTCTTGAGTCTCTGGAGACGAGTGACGAGTGAGAAATTAACTCCTGAGTTTTCCTGGGGCTGGTCAGTTCAACTTCAAAGTTCAAACTTCAGAGATGATACCTCGCTCAACCTCCTCTTTTTTTTCTTTCTTTCTGAAAGGATAAGACAGAGAAGGTTTCCCGTTTTCTTAAGTTAAATAACTCACCGCTGTTAGGGATAGTAAAATGTAGATCTGGCGAGATTGGAAGGAGCATGCCCAGAGCTCATTCCACCAAGGTTTGCTGTTTTCTTCAGTTTTTCTTCAGTCAGAATGAGGCAGACAAGGATTGTAGTTTTCTTAAGTGAAACGACTTACCAGGGTTAAAACGATAGTAATGTAGATCTGGCAAAATTGGAAGGAGTGTGTCAAGGGCTTCCTCCACCCGCTCCACACTACATGCACTCTCAATCAGCACCTGCCCAGTATCGAAATACCGCCAGGACTTCCCTCGAGGCTTCTCAGAAAAACAATCACACAGACCAGCAGATTCAAATCATGCAGTCGTCAATTCCCGTTCTGCTAGGAAAGCCTAGAATGCAATATTCAATGTTCGAGAATGCGCATGCCAATCACGCAGCAATGGTGCTCCTCGCCCCTGCCTACCTGCATCAATAGGTCCCACAAGCTGCAAGGCTTAAGCAGAATATGAATCTCCATCAATCATACCATGCAGAGAACAAATGCCGCCTATTGCACCCATTTGAAATGCCTACCTGCACATTGCTGCCCACATGTGCTGAGCACCTGAAGCACGACAAACTTTGGATAAACCAAAAATCGGGATGAAGTAAAACTGTTTCTGGATTCACAGTGAATGCAACTCGGCTCAACAAGAAAGCAGGAGCGTGCCGATTAAAGTTCATTAAACACCTTTTCGACAAAGAAGTCAGAGCGGTGGGTTTGTTTGCTCGAACTTGGGTAACTTGGGGTATTGATTGAGCATCATGGAGATCTACACGTGGAGGGAGGCCCCCAGCTACAAACTGATGTAATTGTTATAAAACAAAGAGTGATTGTGAATGGTTTAGAATAGGCATTATGACACTCGAGCCTAGCTGGTGGTCAATAGGACAGGTAATCAAAAACGTTGGGCTGATCATGTCAGCGTGAGGCACCACAGTTCGTTTTCAGGGCATATGGGCAACTGACATAGTAAAGATGAATGTTTGAAAAGAAGATGAATGTCTTTCGGCCCGTTGCGGGACATCCATTAAAATTGGAATGATAAAGAGTAGATTACGAGCCATCCACTAAAATTGGAACGATACAGAGAAGATTAGCATGGCCCCTGCAAGGGGAAAAAAAGAAAAAAAGAAAAAAAGAAAAAAAGAAACAAGAAAAAAAGAAAGAAGAGAAAAAAAGAAAAAAAGAAAAAAAGAATAAGAAAAAGAAAATAGTTAACAAATTTCAAAATACATCATTCTGCACAGAAGGTCAAAAGAAGGTAACAGGAAGAGGCTTGGAGCTGTCGGTAGTAGAAAGCCGATCTACTAGCGGGGGGAGGACATATGAGAGAGCGGAGAGTGAGCCGCCTGTGAGGCTACCAGCCATTCCTCCCCCACGCTTTGGCGTTTACAGGACTTGCCAGCTGTCTGTCTGGGTGCTGCCAGTAAGCCTCCCGGCCAGCATAGGAGCTCCTGAGAACACGCATTGGTTTGGGGGGAGAGAAGCCAAGGTACCCCCCCCTGGTGTATGCGGCTAGAGTCACAAGGGTGGCTGGTACTCGGTCCGATTGTTCATTCCCTTGTTTGCTGTTGCTGCTTTTCCTTTTGTATAAAAACATGCTTGCCGGTGATGAGCAACCGGACTGATGCCCCCTCACAACAGATGGGGGCATGAGAGTTTATTAAAAAAAAAAAAAAAAAAAAAAAAAAACGAAACTAGCTCCAATTTGCAAATTCATTGTGGAATCAGATGCAGATCAGAAATTCATGGTGGTTCCTGAATCGACCTTCACGACGTCCCTTGGAGTAGGGGAAAGACTGAAAAGGCAGAAACAACAGATAGAAGACAGAAAAGACAGAAAGGACAGAAAAAAGGCAGAAAAGACAAGCATGGGCTGCAAATAGGAAAAGGGGATTAAGAAAACTGAAACTCTGAATGTCAGACATCTCTTAGTACAAGGACCAGGTGCCTCGTACTAGAAATGCGGACTACCATAGCCTCCTGAACACAACACACCCAGACGGTGAACGTATACATGCTGCCTTCTGGGTCTTATACAGTCACGATGAGGATAAATTGTGTTCAAGTGAAGACGGTAGCATTTGGTGTACTTCGTATCCAGATCAGGTTCAGTAATCTCCAGTACAGAAATGGTCAGCTAAGATTCACACTATCTATAATATTTCGTATGCATCTCCTTACTTGCCACCACCACGTTGACAAACTGAAATAAGGAATTACCTTAGAGCATTACGGCAGAGCACCAGCATGAACACAGCACACACACACACACACACACACACACGCACACACACACACACACACACACACACACACACATTCTGCAAAAGAAGAAGGCCAACAACAGGCCGTAAAACGCCTTTTCTAATATAGCCCAACATTTCAGGTTCAATGCTTCAGACTTCAAAGGAGCAATTAATCCCCCCCACATCAGAGAGGCACCACTCTCTTTGACAATTCCGGAACTTTTTGCTAAATGAAGTCCTTGTATATACACAAGCTACAGAGAGGGTTGCAATAGCTCGTCGGAAAGAGGGGGAAAAAAGGAAAGCAAAACAATGTCTCAACAACTCCTCCGCATTCCGAAAGGTTTGAGCTCGTAACTTTTCAATGGATTTTTGCACCTGAACTATCAGACACATGTCAACTGTCCATTGTCGCCAACATGGTTACTTCAACTTACTTGAAACGCAATTCAAACCAACTCAACGGATAGTTGACGAGCTAACACTTTTACTCTCACACACAACACTACGGTGGAAAACCTAACCCGTACATTATTACGGAGAGGTGCAAGTTGGTGGGTGTTCCCTGGTAGTTAATGTACATACAGTGGGGAGATGGAGAGGTGAAGAAATGAGAAACCGAAGTAACGGAGTTGAGAGATAGCGACATGAGGAGATGGGGAAAGAAAGAAACATCGACACGAAGGACTTCCAATCGCCCATCTTATGAAGCGATCACCATGGAAAAGAAACCGAAAGTCAAGATTGGCGAAACAACCGGTTGGCGAAACAAACGGAAAGCGTCGATGCGTATCTGTTATATTCACCTTTATAGGAACTGCACCGCAGCCAAAAGAGACCAGGCAGTCGATCGGAGAGTCGGGCCATAGAAGTCTGGCTTCTCTGAGTGCAATTATAGCAGGATTGTTTGCCGTCACAGCTCCATCCTGCCAGCGACTATTGTCTGCCAAAAACAAACCAAGCCATTCAAACTCTCAATTTGGTCTTTGTTTCCTCAACAAATTGGAACTCACACAATATTTTTGCACAGCTGCACCTTGAGGTTTTGACTATGCTACCCAAACACAAAGTGCATATCTGCAACATGCGCTAAGCGCTCAGCTGCAAGCCTCTGGCAAGGGCCCAGTGCGTCATGGTCCCGCTGGGCTACCATGAACCTTGTCTGGCATTTGCACGACGTTAGTGCTGATCTTGGCAGACTTACAACCATACCCTTCCCAACCCTGAGAAACCAGGCATATCCAACTGCAAAAATGTAGCATTCATTCCTTTTTTTTTTTTTTTTTTTTTTTTTTTTGGTACTTTCATTCAATCTTATTCCACACTATGTCACCAGAGTGGCCCGGGACCACTTGCCCGGCTGGGCCAAAATCGAATTAGAATTTAGCATACTTGCGACGCATCACGTGCGGCGGAAAGCGCATGCGCATGAGTGCGCGCACACGTGGTGCGACGCACCGCCAAAAATGGGGGTCGTCCAAATCTTTTCAGAGGCTGGGTGTTGTAGCAGGTCTTGCCCCTCGTCAAACTTTCAGAGGACCGCGCATGAGTGGGTGCCAAAGATTTTGTTTTATTTGTGTGCGGATGTCTTCTGGTATTTTGCAGAACACAAGCCCTATATCACGTCAGATACATTAACTCGGATTGCATTCACTATGGTGTGCAGTATAGGGGCTATTTCTGTCGGGAACTTGAAAGAGAATGCCGCAGAACTGACAGCAGCCGTTATTTGTTTTCGCTATTTTCGTTTTCACTAATAAAAAAAAAATAAAAAATAAAAAAAAACGAGAACATCGTGCAGGCTAAGCGATGAGGGTGTATTTATCACTAGAGCGTGTACATGTACTCCCGCCATATGTCTGTTTTCTAGCCCCATACACTTGTGCATAGGGCACGTTGCAGGCTGTTTGGACTTACCTGCTGCAAGCCCGTTAAGATTCTGATAGGTCTGACGCCCGTCTGATAAGGGCCTCGGTCACTATACACCGATTGTGGAAATGAGAATGAATCTTCTGCTAGAACTTGGAGAGATACACCACCGTAAGCTTTGTCTTTTGTGCAGTGGTGAGTGGCAGGGGACCCTCACCTCTGCGCAAAAGACACAGCTTATGCGGTGTATCTTTCCATGACGGTTTTTTTTTTTTTTTTTTTTTTTTTTTTTTTTTTTTTTTTTTTTTTTTTTTTTTTTTTTTTTTTTTCCCTTTGGCCTTTTGCCCTTGTCCGATACTGTAAGCCAACGTGCCCACAGCATATGAGACAAAAGGGAAACCAGTGCATCCTGCCCCAAAAACGAACAAAAAAAACAAAAAAAACTTATAAGTTATAAAACCCTAACACAAAAACACTTTCCGAGTTAAAATGAAGCGTCCAATGAATTCAGCGAAATGCCAACTTTTTCATTATTGATCCAAACATGCCGAAAGACTCGAAACTGGACACACGACATACCCTAAAGCACATATATATAACACGAAAAGAAGAAAAGAAAAAAAAACAGCAAAAGTTGATAAAAATCAGCACACTATGATAGTTTCGATGCAAAATTCGCCGAAAATAACTCCCCTTGTTAACCACCTGTAAGCACTAGAAATGGTGCTAATGGCAAAGATAGTAAGATACAGCTTGGGGTAATAAACTGAGAAAAAAGATTGTTTGAAACCCCACAATTGTAACCCCGATGAGAGGCAGACACTTTGAGAGACAGTGAAAGACCAAATTTGACCAAAAAAAGACTTTCCAGTGTTTTCACTTTGAAACTACAACAAATCGTGCCAATAAGTTCACGTATGATAAAAACAAAAACGTTACGGAGACCCAAGGAAACGGTTGTTGTGTAAATGCTGTTACAGCAATTGTTTATCCATTGACTAAGTTTAGAGCCAATTGAATGCGTAGTTCATTTCAACCAAAGACTGCCAACCATTGAGTACTGAATGGGGTGATCAAATGAAATAAAAGCAAGACTATTGCAGAATTCGAAAGGCCTGCGAACGCGATGAGTCATCATAAATTTCTTCATTGGTTTAAGAAGTTTCATCAGAGTCATTCTGAATCTTTTCTGATTCCATATGCCTCCGTACACCCCACGAACATAGAGAAAATGCAATACAGAGTAAAACGTTATAAAAACTTTGCACAGAGTAACCATAGCTGAAGCCTGTGATTGTAAGGATCCAGTGCTCCATCAATGACAGCAAAAGAACCCTGAGGCATGTCATCAGGTGAGATGAGGGCAATTTTTTTGCGGGTTACAAACAAGGTTACTTGTGATGACTGATGTCCTTCCCGTCACCCAAGTGACGCAGAGAAGACGTGACACAAAAGGAAAAGCGCCAGTCTGGAAATACCACTCATGTCTCAAGAGGTAAGTACTAAGCTGGGACATGTGAACCATGCGGTGCTTTAGCCACTCTTGCACTCTCTCTCTTTCCTACTTGACATCAGCAGCTCATCAGCCAGCAGTCATCTAGAGATCACACTTGATGTGCTACCATCTGAGATTCACTGTGACGGCACGCAAATGGAGAGAAAAAAAAGCATCAAATGACACCAACCTAGAACAGATTTACAAGTTCTCTCAAGCCTAAGGTTCATTGTGAAACCACACGGGCTGCGGTCCAGTCAGGGTGGAGCACGTTAGGGTGAGGAGAAGAAAATAATTACCGCAAGAGAAATCATCCAAATAGTAGGGCGCAGCTGACGAGGCTCGTATTGCTTGCCAGGTGTGGTGCTTGCAACTCCCCATGAAAGCCCCTTTCCCTGCACTGACTGGTGCGTGAGCTTTGCTGAACGGAGTGCCTGTCTTCGCACCATCGCTTGTTGTGGGTGTCCCAGTTGGCGTAAGAGGATTTGAAGCTGCAGCGAGCGCAGATTCTGGAGTGCCTGGAGGATGCTGCATCCGGGGGATCATTTGAGTGTCTGATATTGCTTGATTAAGTAACAACACACAAGTGTAACTTATCTGTCCTTTTGCAGCCCTTCCACAATTCCTCAGTCACACACAACCAAACAGCAAAAGAAAACGTCGGGGACCCTACAAGTCTTCCCGGGTGGAAAACAACCGATAACAAGTTTTCCTCAGAACTTCCACATTTCCTCAGTCACAAAGAACAAGATGGAAGCAAAAGACTTCCTGAAGTTTCACCATGTGAAAAAGAACAGAAACCTCCGTTTGGCGGCAATCCAAGCGTCACCATCTAATCATGTCCTTCCCACCTCTTGTCCCCTCCACACTTGCATTGACAGACACCATTCTTGTAATTCCCCACCAACCTCATACAAAGTCCTCCATCTTTTATTTTTCCCCTACACTGCCCATTCACTAGCGAGCCTATGGCCTTTTCCGCTAGATATGTGGACGAAAAAAATCGCCATCACCCGGTCCATTTACCAGATAGCAGGCCCCATAAATGTTCAATTTCATTCCAGGAACTTCTTCTGACTGCGCTGTGCAAGAAACACACAAGCGACACATCCAGAATACGGGCGTACATCTGTAAAACCAAGGGTTGGGGTGACGCAGCCATCTGCAACTCAACCTTAGGAGTCCAGTGGAGAAAAGCCCCTTGCACGAATGCTTCCCCTGCAACTTAACCTCTGGGAGAGCGAAACCACTTGTACGAGTGTTTTTCATACCAAACTGGTTAGACCCTCCCGGCTAGGAAGATTCTCACGCCCGGCCGGTCCTGCCCGGCCGGGCACCCGACCCGGGCGTGCAAAAAAAAAAAAAAATTTTTTTTTTTTTTTTTTTTTTTGGTTTTCTGCGCTCTACCAGAGGACCAAATCCGGGATCATTTCGTTTTTTGCAAGTTGGCTGTCAAGGGGGGGGGAGGGGGGTACAAATTGGTTTTAAAGGGGCTAAAGGGGTTTAAAGGGGGGTGCCTTTGTGTGATTCTGTTATTTTCTTTTTTATCTCCGATTCTGTGAGGAATCATAATGTGACCCTCAGCCAAAAGTGGTTTGCATTTCAATCCTACACAACATTTTCTTTTCCCGGAATTTTTTGAGTTTTTTTTTTTTTTTTTTTTTTTGGCGCTGGGGCTGCCTGGAACCCTGCCCGGGGGTCATGCCCGACCGGGCACCCGGGCGTGCACCCGGGCAGAAGTTGGGTGCCCGGGCGCCCGGGAAAACAGCCTAGCCTCCCGGAGCTTTTTTATCCAATGGCATGATGGCAGTTCTTGCTTGCAAGCTCAAACAGCACACTACTCTTCGCCTCCATTTTACGCTTCACCTCCGGTTCTCGGAGTTCTCCTACCTCACTTTCTGCTCTACATTAGATTTCCAATATGTTCAGTTTGCTGTGTATAAAAGGGCACATGGTAGGTTCCATCATGCAACGTAAAGGGGATACCGGGGCAAGTTCAACAAAGAATCGAGTCACAACATCCAAAAACTTTTATGAGAACTCGCCGTTAAACTCGGCATTAAGCATATATTTGGAGGAGGACAAAAAATTATCATGGGTTACAGTCATCCGGCTTTGCTTCAATCAGTTGCAATGGACAGCAGCAGAGGTAAAACTTTTATGAGAACTCGCCGTTAAACTCTGCATTAAGCATATATTTGGAGGAGGACAAAAAAATATCATGGATTACAGTCATCCGGCTTTGCTTCAATTAGTTGCGATGGACAGCAGCAGAGGTAAGTACTGCCGGAGATGTGCAATCTGCTACCATACCTGATATGTCCGAAACAAGAAGGGCTGAACAGGTGTCACGCTGACGAGTGATGCAACAACAAAAACCTTGGGCCCTCCCTGGAGTCCTGAATCAATAAGGAGGTCTCCCTCATCATTCCGACACATTTCCTTGAGCAGCCTCTCAAATTCCTCTGAATTGTGCTGTTGACAGGCGAGAACAGTGTCACATCACACAGCCATCAACCTAAAACGAATGTCAATGTCAATGGATAGCAACAACTGAACCTTTCCCTAAACTACTTGCTTCTTGAACCAACAGTACTTTTCCCAGCCAATTTCTACGATGAGGGTGTGCACGAGCCGCCTCTGGTTGTATGTACCAGCATGCCTCTTCGCACGAAAGACATCCAGAGCATGCACGCAACCGTTTTTGCCAAGACGAAGTCGACGCGCAATGGGCAGGCCGATACCTCCCACCAGAGGCACAGTCTGCACTGCTGCATCGCAGAAAATTGGCTACGAAAAGTACTGGTGGTTTAAAACCAATCCCCCGAGTGCGCCCCCTGGCCCTCCCCCGCTGGGGAAACAAGAAAAGAAAGAACGAAAAATACAACATCAAAAGCGGGACATATACAGCATTGCTGCGTCTAAAAGGATGTATGAATTTTAGATTAATGACCAGATAATTATGATCAGTTCTAGGGATGTCCCATTCAGCACCCAAAGCAAATGATCTAAAATTCATATACATCGAGACCAGCAACCAGTGTTGATTAGCTGATTGACTCCGGCAAACAACAATGCCCTGCAAACTTGCAAACTGTTCAATCTCCTCACTTCAACAATGACCATACGGGAGGACATCAGCTCCTTGCTTCAACTTGAAAATTCAGCTTTCGATTATGGACTCCCAAATTCTCAATCCATTCGCCCAGGAAAAGGACACGATCTCAAGAATGATTGCAAGGCAATGTTTAACAAGCGATTCACTTGGTCAGAGTAGAGACCCTCCGTATGGGCTATCCTGCATATGATAGCCCAACCGTACCTTTCATTCGCAGAATGCCATGGCACAGTGGAAGTGTTTTGAAGGCGTGTGTGCACAACTCCACAAAGAAAAGGCACGACTGTGCCAGACTATTTCGTCAGACTTTCACCGACTCATCAGGAGGCTGTGTGTTGGAGATTCTCACCACAACAGCCCCTGTTCCACCCAGATGAGTTGCTCCAAAATTGAAGCAACTTTACATATATCGCAGACACTGAAGCACACTAGAGATTAGCCAATCCAACAATGAAACAGTTTTACGTCTACAGCAAGCAATATGGAGCAGAATAGTGTGTTGTGTCAAAGAACCCCAAACTCTTTCCTCAGTCCATCCACAAATGATCCACAAACCGTGCATAAAACAAGGTAGGCATAGATAGGCAATTTAATAGAAGATGCAAGGTTCCAATGATTGTGTGGTTAAGCGCAGAGTGCCCGTACGCCAGACTGTCGCCCAAGCGCCACACTTGCACAAATATATCATCAGAAAGAGCTGCCCGGTAAACCGTAGGCAGAGAGGGAGAAGAGGACAACAAACAAGGGGTTGTGACAAACTGTTTCGTCCGCTGAGTTTCATAATCCATAAAAGATGGAGGGCAAAAGGCAACATACTTCCCAAACATCAACTATGCAGAACACACAAAATTAATTTCACCACTAACAAGCAAGCACTGAGACGAGAGCCCTCTGAGTCAGCACACAAAGCCACTATAGATTAAACGAACACCGCGCTACCTCTCTACTCAACACCAAGAGTGCCATAAACCTCCACAGCCACAATCTGCAAATGCAGCACACAAAGCCACTATAGATTAGACGAACACCGCACTACCTCTCTACTCAACACCAAGAGTGTCATAAACCTCCACAGCCACAATCTGCAAATGAAATATCTCATAGTGCCACAGCGAGGCACTTACTAATCAACAATATATTGCTGGTTTTATAATGGTAGGTGCTTTCACTCATGGATGTTTTCTTTATACGCGATTATAATCCAGAAACAAATAAAAAGAGTGTTTTAGCTGGAATGCTTGAACATAAAGAAGCTATTATTGATTTACTATATGAATTTATATCCTAGGCGACCAGTCAGGCGTGCCCGGCCGGGCGGGCCCCGGCCGGTTGAGCCCAGGGAGGTCCGCCCGGTGAAACCGGGCGACGCAAAAACACAGCAAGGATTTTTTTTATTTTATTTTTTTGAAGGCAGGGTTGTGCTGCGCTACCCTAGAGGACCCCGCATCTGCAATAAAAAAGTCAAGTTGGGGGGGTTGGGTGGGGGTGCTGGGGGAGGGATGTCAGCGGGTGGTCTGGGGGATGTCAGTGTTGGTATGTCACAGACCTTGCAGGTGTGTATGTGGAAGAAGAAGAAGAAGAGGACAAGGAGGAGGAGGAGGAGGGGGAAGAAGAAGAAGAA